CCTTCCCCCTACACTCTGGGTGACTGTTCTGAGCAGCTTCCCGATTTGAGCAACCTCCCATCTGGGTCTATATTGTTGAGGCAGTAGCCTTTTATTGTGAACACTATCTTAAAGATGAGATTAAATGCCAACAACCTGGGGGATTTCTTATTTTTAACCTGGAAAATGAAATATTTCCACAGAATGAAGGATGAGCCCTCCAGTTGAAGCCTGCCTGCTTTGCCCCACCTAACTCGGAAAACCTTTAAGATCCTTGGCAAGGCTATTCTGGGCCGAAGGTGGGGGCGGTGACTCAATGCTACTCCCCATTCCACCCTCACTCCCCCCTGCTTGAGTCAGGTGAAATCAGGTTAGGACAAACATAAAGGGCATCTTGGCAGCCAGCTCTGAGAGAGGGCTGTAGACAGGACTGGCCTAGTCCTCTAGGACTGAACTGATAAGCAGCCTTGTTGAATACCCTGTTAAGACGTGGGCCTATGGTTCCCTTAAACGGAACACCCTGAAGAATATTTGCCATATATTTCTTATTGCTCCCTGTGGTAGGCAAATCGCTTCATGCCTGTTTTTTCAATGTATCTGAAATAGCAAACAATCCGCAGACAGGACACACACTGCTCTCAAGCTCCCAGGTAAATCCTCTCAAGCCTGACTTAGACCTGCCAGGCTGTGGACTCAGGTAAAATCCAAGTCTCTCTCAGCCTGCCTTCCTGCTGTAAAAGGTAATTAGAACACATTCTGAGTGGGGCTGCTTTGTAGATTCTGTGAGATTTAGCATTGAGTCCTAGGAAGGAACTAATGTCCTTGCGAGCTAGGCTGCCTTCCTGAACCCTGTTTTATGGGTTAAGTCACTGAGGCACAGACATCCAGCTAGTAAGTCATGGAGCCCAAATACAGTACAATCCAGTGACTCTCAGTCAGTTTCCTCATTGTTCCAGTGCTGGCCGTGTGTCTACCAGAGAACAGTGAATAAATGTGGGAGTGGGGGCGGGGAGGGTGAAGGGGGAGTTACCTTGGGGGGTATGAGGGAGGGAGAGGGAGTTACCTTTCTCTTGCCTGAGGCACTGAGCTGGGCTGGGCTGTTAAAACAGGATCCACACGGATCTGATTCTTTGCATCTGGTTTCTCAGCACTAGGCAAGTGGGCACCTAACAGGCTTTGTGTGTACTGTGAACTGTTCTCTCTATTCATGTGGGACATGAACCTTATGTCAGAGATGGGATAAAGTTTCCTATTTCTTCTCAACTGGCTACCAATCTGAAAGAAAGAGGCCATGTCTATACCATTTAGTGGAAGTTTTACCTGAAAAAAAAAAAATTAGCCTTTTATGTTAGCCATGCAACTTTGTATGTGAACAAATGTGTGTGTGTGTGACATGTGCAGTTTTGCGTGCATATTTGTGCTTGTGCATGTGTGTGTATGTTTGTGTTCATGACTTTGTGGTATGTGCAGTTTTATATGCATGTGTGCCTGTGAATGTATGTATGTGTGTGTGCATGTGGGTAGGCTCGAGATTGTTCTGTTCCTCCATGATCATTCTCTGCCTTACTTTATGAGACTGACTCTGTCACTGAACCTGGAGCACTCTGATTCAGCTAGACTAGCAGGACAGCAATCCCTGTCTCTGCTCCCAGCTCAGGGATTACATATGTCTACTGCCTGGTGTGAAAACTCGGGCCCTCAGCACCAGTGGGGCTAGCTTGCTCTCTGTCGCTATCAGCTTTTCCCAAACTCTCCTATCTGCCCAGTGTCTTCATCACTGTGCCTTTTCTCAGTGCTGAATCCTCAGCCTCGGATTCCCTCATACTCCAATGAAGGGCATGAATATGCACCCCATGTTCTGTAGGTCGAGAGAAATGAGGTGCTGTGTAAGAAAAACTTCTGTAAACTTCTGCTCAGTCCTCTGCTTTTTCTCGTACTGAACCCCTCCTTCCTTCCTCAGGTGGGCGCTAGGACTGTGCCTAGCCCTTCTCAGCAGGGTGTTACAGCTTCCTGAACTGAGATGGAGTTTCACATTCTCGTACACACACGCACATACACATACAAACATGTCAAAACATATACCAGCACACACACAAATATACATATGCACACATGCATATACATACACAAACACATACCAGCACACACTTTACACACACATATATATATACAAATACATATATACCTATATGCATAATCACATACATGCATATATGCATACATATAAAGATGCTGTATACAATACATGCACACAAATGTGCACATACGAACATGCTCACACATTTACACAAATATATACACTCGCATGCACACACATCCATACACACACAACACTGACTTATACATACGTGTACACATATACATACATACATACACACACACACATACACACACACACACACACACACCAGGAAGGAGGAAGACACTGAGGCTGGAGGAGATGCTGAGTTTTAAGACCTGGTGGATAAATTTATTTTCTAGCTTCTAAGCTCGCCTCACTCCAGAACACCTGGAGTCTTCTCTTCCCAGTTACTGGATATGCCTGAGCCTTATTTGAAAAGTGCAGTAGTACTTGTTTCCCTGGGTTATCAGCAGGCAGTAGAAGCACTAACTTATCCTGTCTGTCCCTTTTCCTCTTCCCTCCTTTCTCTTTTCTCTTCCAGCCCTCCCAGTCTCAGCTTTCCACGTGGTGGGGATGACTCCCTGCTACTGCAGCTTAGGACACAGTGAAGAGCAGTAGCGTCTGAATGGTGTCCTCCTGAGTTGGCTGACCAGGAGCTGGTGAATCCTGTGCTGCCTTTGCAGGTTGTGGTGTGTACTGGCCATGTATGGAAGAGGCTCCCTCCTTAGATCTGTCACTCACCTGCCCTCCCCTATGTCTTCCAGAGTCTTCTCTTGACCTCAGCACAGGGGGACTACCCGCCACTGTCCTCTGGATGTAGAAATGGTGCCTGTCCTAATCCACTGTCAAGCAACCCACTGTCACCTGTCATCCTAGCCCAACTCCCAAAGCTTACTCTGAGGAATAAATGATGAAAAGAGTTAGTATTAAGAGAGAAGGAAAACAGGAAGTGCTTCTTAAAGCTCCCAGCTATACACAGCATGACAGCCTGCCCCTCCTGAACCACCACTGCCATTTGCCACCAACTCCCTGTGTGGTTGAGGAAGTGTCCCTGTATCCTGGACCCCAAGGGGACTGTTGGACATGGCCAGCCTGGAGCCAGTGGGACGGGCCAAAGAGGCAGGGAAGCCAAGCTGCTGTATTCTGGGCACAGTGTCAAGGCCAGCTGCAGGGAGAACAAGACCTTGCTGTGGACCTGCAGCTGGCCGTGGTTAGGCAGGGCCGTCCCTCACTTGCGGGATATTTAAAAAGACCCCAGCAGAGGACAGAGCCAAGAGGGAGAGTGCACACAGATCTGTTTACCACACTCAGCTGCTTCAGCTCCAGCTCCTAAACAGGGTATTTATATGTAAATTAGGAGAGCTTGCAGCTCAGCTTCTCCCAGGTATAGGTGGTGGCCTCTGCCTTTCATCACCTGGAGACACATGCTCTTGGCCTTTGGACCTCTGTCCTGTGGCCAAGCTGCCACAAAGGTGCCTCCCACCGTGGTGTCAGTAACCCAGCAACCAAAAGGAGTCAGGTAGGGCCTTATGGAACCTCTGGCTTTGTGTTTTGTTTGTGAACACTCCCTGTGAGCAGGGCCTTCCTCTGCCACAGGCTTAATTCTCCTATCAGAAGAGTGGCCCAGCCTCAGTAGAGGATCATGGCTCTCACAGAAGGTTCTAGATCAGATTTTGGGGGGTAGGAATTGAGGAGGGCAGATGATAGGAGATTTTTCCCATGTGCCTGAATATGTTTTTCTCAAGTGCAAAGGCCTGAATTCCACAACAAGGTGAGATTGTTAGCAAAGAATTCATGGACTGAAGCCCAGCAAGTGAAGACACAGATGTGCATAGAAAGTGGGTCTCTAACAGGCAAGAAACATGCTCCTAGCAGTCAGTGAGAAGACTCGAGGAGCACAGCCCTGCAGAAGTGGGGCAGGAAGCAGGCAAGGGGCGCCAACAGGCAAACGGTCTGAGGCAGGCTGCTACAAGTGCTGGAAGTCTCAGGAAAACAGAGTGCACCACCAGGATGAGCTGCGTAATGTGGGGCCCAGTTCAAACTGACAGTGCAGTTCTTTGTTTTAAAAAGTCGTTCAGGGGGCTGAGAGCACTGACTGCTCGTGCAGTGGACCCAGGTTCAACTCCCAGCACCCACCTGGTGGCTCTCGACCATTTATAACTCTAGTTCCAGGAAATCTCTAGCCCGCTTCTCCTCTCTATGGGCACCAGGGACACATGTGATTTACATGAATATATATGCCAAACACTCATATACACCAAAATAAATAAAATTTTAAAAAGAACGCATATTGTTTAAAAAAAGAAAGAAGCTCTCTCTTCATCTTCTCTTCACTCGCCATCTTCCCGTTCCTCTCTCCCACTCCCTTCCCCAAATAAACCCCTTCCCTTGGAACCGGAAAAAAAAAATAAATAAAAAAAGAAAGAAAGGAAAAAAAATTGTTCAACATTTCAAGATGGTAGCAAAAGCGCTTCTCAGCTCTGAGGGGTCTGTGTCACATTCCCACAGGGCTGGGCCTGGCATTTGTTTGTCAGCTTCTTGAGGCAGCTGAGAGGAAGGATGCCAGGTCAACTCTCCACCCACAGGCACCTCCCCTCCCATGTTAGGTGGGAACCAACCAGCTTTACCTCTTTCAGTGGAAAAGCATGGTTGAGGGTCAGAATGACTATGGCTGTAACGACCCAGAACCCCAAGGATTCACTTGCACAAGATAAGAAGGACTTCCCCCAACAGTGGAAGCCCTCTAAGTGATTTTATGTACCTGAGCAGGATGCTCTACATGACAAAGGCTAGACTTTGGGTCATATCTGAAAGACTCCAGAGGATATGTCCTGAGGGTGAGTATGGGATGTTCTAGAACAGTAACAGGGTGGAGTGGCCTCTCCACATGGGACCTTACCTCCAGCTCTATGTGGTCATGGAGTTTCTTGCAGGTGGCTGCGAAGGTTTCCGAGGTACCAAATTCGAAATACCACAGCTTGTTCTTCATCCTGGATCATGAAGGGAAGAGACATTTTCAATCAATATTCTGTACTTGAACTGGTCCTGAGAAATAGCTCTGCTCTTCGGCCCCTGAGGCCCAGAGCCCCTGAATTCCCTGATCTTAAATTGCAATGCTTGTCAATCAGATTATCAAGGAACAGAAAAACTTACCAACATGCTCTTGTCCGAAAGTTAGAAAATCTGCTCATATCTTAGACATCATGGACTTTTGGTGAACTGTTAATTGCACCCTGTGGGTCCTGAGTAGAGCAAGAAAGGCATGCTATGCTCGGGAGCTGCCTCAAGGAGGCTTCCCGTGGAAAGTCAGCTTGAGGTGGCAAATGACAGAATGCCCTGCTTACTGTCCCTTAGACATCTGTGCAGAGCTCCCTTCTAGGTCAAAAGGACCAAACAGCCTTTTGAGATTTAAAAGATGTGCAGCCTTCAGATAGACTCGGAAGCTCTGTACTGAACCAGAACCAAGATGTGATGCTTTGTCTATTTTCTATGTGGGGGAGATGGAGTGACAGAATTAATACCAACTTAGAAAGAGAAGGGTTAACAGGCAGTCCTTGGAAGCAATGGTCACTGTCCTCCCAAGTACATTTGTACAGGCCACGGCAGCCCTTTGTTTAGAGAAGATTTGCTTGCTTTAGAGTGGGAGTTTACCAATCTGAGCTTTACAAATTTTCCGTGTTTTCTTTAGGGGACAGAGAAGGATAAAATCAATCAGTGGGGTGCTTATTAGGCTGAAGGCTTTCAGGGTCAGGTGGTGTCCCTGACACTCTGTGACTTGCTTAGATAGTCTCAGCAGGAAGTGTCCCTTTGGTACTCCATTTATTCCACCCCAACTGTCACCCCATTAGCAGGACTGGCTAAGAGAGGGGACACCTGTCCAGTTTACAGGCAGACAGATTTTGCTAAGAAAGGATTAAACCAAATCACATTTTCTTGGCACTCAAGACAGAGGAAGCCTCCTTGGCTGTAGCTAATCCTCAGCTCCGTGGACCATGGAGAAAGAGCATCCTTCAGAGGATGGAGGTTCTTGCTTCTTCCTGGGCATACTTGCTGATTCATTGGCATGGCAACCATGCTCTCTGCATTTCTTCAGTAGTTTATGTATGACTTAAACACCCGATTGCATTCTTCTCTCCTGTAAAGAGTGCTAAGATCTGGTTGATGGGCAGAAGCCTTTCTGACTGTTGGTCTCCATGAGACTAAAGGGTAAATGATGGGTAAGAAAAGGTGGGGCATTGTGCTTCAGAAAACCCTTGAGCAGTGTTGAGGGTCCACAGGCCAGTGCTTGTCAGTGTGTTGAGTAATTGCCGTTTCAGTCTTTGGGGTGGCGTGTGGGGCAGGCTGAGCCCTGTGTTCTGGGGTGTTCTCACCTGTACCTCCACTGTGTCACAGAAGGGTTTTCATTCCCTGTGCATGCTACAACAGAAGAAAAAAGTTGCACAGTCCCTCATCACTGGTTGTCTGTACAGAAATGTGTATATGCATATCACCCCAGGATCTTGTATAAAGACTCTTGGTTAGTCATTCACGGGGTGCAGCCTCCGTGTCCTCATTCTCTAACAAGCTGCTGATGCTGCTGGTTGCAGGGCCTGGGCTTCTCCTCTAGTTCTCAGGTGTTAGCATCTGTTGGAATCTCCCAGGGAACAGGTTGAAATGCTGTTTCCAGCATTTGATTTGTAGACTCCGACAGCTGTGGAGCGGAGTCCAGGAGCACGTGCTTTTATGAGTGTCCAGATGATCTTTATGCTTATGGCCAGTGAAGAAATACTGCTCCAGATGCTATGAAAACTGTTGACAACTATGGAACTACTAGAACCTGAAGGAAAGGACTCCTCAGAGGAAAGGAAGGACAGGGCCTTTCAGCAGGCAGTGATGACCAGAGACCATGTAAGGGTGGTTCTAAACTCCAGGGTCCTGCATTCCTTCCCAGCAGGGCAACTGGTCCGGCGGGTGTTTTTCAAGTATCAGGCTGGTCTGAATCATGACTTCTGAAAGTTATTGCCCAGAGATTTAGAGTTTTAATAAAAATTTCCGGAAGGCATGGCTATTTTTGTGCCAAAGTGGCTCTTTTGATGATCTAATGAGGTTAAAAGGTTGAGACTAGGTCAGCACGGAGGAATAATGGGACTGACTGGATTACCCATCTGAGGGTAGCTGTGCGACCTTTGGCAGCATGTTTAATCTTTTTAATCTCACTCTCCTCATCTGTAAAACAGCAAATGAAGAAAATCTGCTTCTCAGGATGGTGGAGAAGACAAATAAGATGAGCCTGCTCTCTGGTACCCATTGTTATTTCACAGTCATCAGCTGGTGTGATGGGGCAAAGACGACAGACCTGCCTGGCGTACAGCTACTGAGTCCTGCTTGGTGTACAGCTACTGTAGGGTTTATGCATTTGTATGTGCTGTCAAGGAAAACAGTCATATCTGTTAGATCAGGTGTTTTGACTTTTGGCTAAAAATGTGTTCCCCTCATATCTAATTTAATACATTTGTTTTTCTAGAGTCATAGGCCACACCCTAATCCCTAGTTAATCCTCTGGACTAGTCACATGGTTGGTCAAAACTGTGATATGGTGACAAATGTACTTCTGAGAAGCTAGAGCTGAACTGCATGCTTGATAAGGAACAAAATATTAATATGGGGCTGGAGTCAAGGGTCAGTGTGTAGGGGGCTGGTCATCCAGCATGACTACTGGAGTTTCATTCCTGGTACCCATATGCTGTCCTAAAGTTGTTCTCTGGATTTTTATACATGCACCATATGTATCTACTTTCATAAATTAATATGATAAAATTTAAAAAATTAGTCAACACACATTGATTTTGTCATAGACAGGAGAGGAGAGATGAGATGCAACAAATAACGAAACATAGAATTCCATGAACTGGGCACGTGGAAAGGAAGACATGGAAGGAGGCTGCTTTGTGAGGGACGCAGCAGCAAGGTATGCAGAAGGGAAGACATTCAGTTCTTAATGGGTCAGAAGCATTTAGGGCAAGTGTCTTAGGGTGGGGAGATGCTAGAGTAGAGTTCAGAAAAAACACAGGGAAACAGAAGATAAAGGACAAACATTCCAGGCAGTGGAAGACTCCCAGGGGTCTCTATCTAATCTCTGTTGGTATAACAAAATCCTTAGAGTTGGTCAATTTATAAAGAAAAGAGGTTCATTTTGCTGGAGGTCCAAGAACAGGGCATAGGCTCAGCTAAAGGCCTTGTGCTGTGCCAGAGCATGACTAAGGAGCAAAGAGGAGAAGCAGGCGCACATGAAGGAAGCATGTATCTGACAGAGGAAACAAGAGCAAACCAGGGAAGCTGAACTTGCTCTGTAACAGCCTCACATGGAAACTAACTCACTTGAATAAGCTACATTGATCCTTCATGAGGCTGGTCCCTTCTAACCCAAGGGTCCCTCAAAAGCCTTGCTGCCTCTCAGCTTTGCTATACTGCAACCTCAGATTGAGTTTCAATGAAGACAAACCTCCCATGACCCCAGGAAGTGGGTAAGAGCCAGTGCCAAGGGGACACAGACTCAAGTGGGGGTGTGGTGAGGGTCTGGTTAGCCTCAGCTGGAGAGGCAGGTTGGACAGGACTGTGAAGGCTGGACACAACAGTGGCTGGGCTTGGTCATGAAGCCTACAGGGAGCCACTGGCCATTCTTGAGTAGGAGAGAGGGCAGGTTGGTGACAGTAGTGACCTGATTCCTTCTGAAGTTCTGATGTGTGTATAGTTGGTATACATGTCCATTTGGGTGTGTGGATATGTGGCATGGGTGTGTGAATGTGTTGTGTACAGGTACTTGTGTATGTGTGCACACATGTCTGGAGGCCAGGAATTGATGTCAGGTGTCGTTCTCAATTGCCTTATGTTTTGAGACAGGGCCCTTCACCGAGTTCACAATTTTGGCCAGACTGACTGGCTAGTACGCTTCAGCCTCAGGCAGTTTCTGCCTCCCTTCTGCAGGGCTGGAGATCAGAACTCAGTTCCTCATGCTTGCTGAAGTTGATAAACTGTCCTCTCTTTAGTTCCTTCAATTTGTGTTTTTAAAGATCTTCCTGTTCCTGATGAGGGGAATGGGACTATAAGGGGTGATACCAACTAGAGGCTTGGAAAGTCGTTTGGATGTGGTGTAGGAGTCTAGAAGAGAATTGCCAAAGGCCTCATGCGGGCAGCAAAATAATGCTCAGATCGAGTCAAAGGCTCAGATGTAGGGGTTAGGATTGGCAGCTAGACCTGAGGAGTGAGAAGTGATTAAAAAGGTATTTAGCATTAAGACAGCATGACACATGTAGGTTGGTTTCCTGGGACAGGGGTGCAGGAGAACAGTTTACTGCAGGTAGTCTTCAGGGTAACTGAAGGATTGTGATTGTGGCCCATGTGTCCATCTGTCCAAACATCCAAATACGTCAAAACTATATTGACATTGACAGTGACACATTTCCTCCAGCAAGGCCACACCTACTCCAACCAGGCCACACCTCCTAATTGTGCCACTCCCTATGGCCAAACATTCAAACACTTGAGTCTATGGGGACCATACCTATTCAAACCAGCACATTCTACTCCCTGGCTCCCATAGGGTTGTAGCCATAACGTAATGCAAAATACATTTAACTTCTGACTTAGTTAGGGTTTAATTGCTGTGAAGAGACACCATGACCAAAGCAACTCTTATAATGGACAACATTTAATTGTGGCTGGCTTACAGTTTCAGACGTTTAGTCCTTTATCATCATGGTAAGAAGCATGGCAGCATGCAGGCAGACATGGTGCTGGAGGAGCCAAGAACTCTACATCTTGATCTGAAGGCAACAGAAGGGGACTTTCTTCTGCAGGCAGCCAGGCAGAGTCTAGAATTCCACATTGGGCAAAGCTTGAGCATAGAAGCCCTCAAAACCCACCCCTTTGAGGGCTTTAATTATTTGAACAGTCCTGGGAAGCAGATACTACTTATTTGTATTCTCTCACAGGAGGATTCAAAGATTGGGTT